ATAAAAAAAAATACCCTTCTGGGCATTATTAATTAGGATCCCCCCTCCAATATAAACCTGCAAAAGAAACTGTTAACTTACCTGGAATCTAGAATCAGGAGAAGCGACCCTTGTTGGATTCCACGCCCAACGTAACAGCCTCGCTCTCTGTGGTGCAGTCAAAAAGACGCATTTGATTGGAACTTTTCACCGACTCTGAGCCGGGTAAAGGATGGAAGGTGGAGAAGGGGATTCCAGGTGTTAAAATAGGAGTAACGTTCACTGGAGGGAGACACAGAGAGGGACACTAAAGTGTTATCTTACAGGAATGCTGCCTTCAAGGAAGTTCATTACATCTGTTACCAGTGCGCTGACAATAGACATGTTTTGCAAAAGAATTTACATTAGGCTGAAGTGCTGCACACATGGGCTCATACCACTATAACCACTTCTCAAACGTTTATCGCTATCCGTTTTTTTAATGCATTATATGAGAGGCTATCTGCAGATGCAGGAAGACCGCTTACTGACCAGAAAGGCTTTCCAGCAGTCAGAAGCATCTTTGTCATGTATGGGGCCATTTTTTATTTTATTTTTTCTCATAAACCACTGTCCAGCTGAGATGTATACAAGAAGGATTTAATTCCCAAGTTGCATTTCCATATAACAAATGGATTCTACGCAAACTAATTTTTTTTTTTCATGTTGTCAGTCTGTTATATACACAGTACAATGATACAAAGTTGTCTAGCAGATTAGACTTTTAACAAAAACTCTCTTTAATTAGACACTTCACTACCCATATACAAAATAAATCGCTGTTTAGTAGATGTGCCCCAATATAACCCCAGTATATCAAACTGCTTGCAGATCTCCTTACATCCTGGTAGTTTAGGTTATTGGAGACAAACTCAAGAGGCAGCAATTGCTCAGAGCACCTGTCTTGCAAATAATTGTTTATGCACCCTGTTCCAAATTATTATGTAAATTCTATTTAAGTGTCACAAAGATTAAATATTTTGTTTTTCAGTTTAACTCATGGATGGCATTGTGTCTCAGGGCTCTTTTGATTACTGAAAACAATCTCGGACACCTGTGATAATTAGATTGCCGGGTGAGCCCAATTTAAGGAAAAACTACTAAAGGAGGGTGTTCCACATTATTAAGCAGGGCACCATTTTCATGCAATATGGGGAAGAAAAAGGATCTCTCTGCTGCCGAAAAAAGTGAAATAGTTCAATGCCTTGGACGAGTTATGAAAACATTAGATATTTCAGGAAAATGTAAGCGTGCTCATCGCACAATTAAGAGATACGGGTTTGTGCAGATAAAGGCACATTGAGGAAGATTTCTGCCAAATCCATGCATCGGATCAAGAGAGCAGCTGCTAAAATACCATTACATAGCATCAAACAGATATTTGAAGCTGCTGGTGCCTCTGGAGTCCCACGGACATCAAGGTGTAGAGTCCTCCAGAGTCTTGTAACTGTGCATAAATCTTCTGTTCGGCCACCAACCTATGCTCACAAGCAGAAACGGCTGCATTGCGCAGAAAAATACATGAAGACTAATTTATAAAACAGTCCTGTTCACTGATGAGTGCCGTGCAACCCTGGATGGTCCAGATGGATCGATTAGTGGATGGTTGGTGGACGGCCACCCTGTTCCAACAAGGCTGCAAAGTCAGAAAGGCGGTGGTGGAGTCATGTTTTGAGCCGGAATCATGGGAAGAGAGCTGGTCGGCCCCTTTAGGGTCCCCCGAAGGTGTAAAGATGACCTCTGCAAAGTACGTGGATTTTCTGAATGACCATTTTCTTCCCTGGTACAGGAGGAAGAACTATGCTTTCCATAATAAAATCATCTTCATGCATGACAATGCACCATCTCACGCTGCAAAGAATACCTCTGCATCAATGGCTGCTATGGTGATAAAAGGAGAGAAAGTCACGGTGTGAACTCCATCCTCCTATTGAGAACCTTTGGGGCATCCTCAAGCAAAAGATCCATGAGGGTGGGAGGCAGTTTACATCCAAACAGCAGCTCTGGGAGGCTATTCTGACATCTTGCAAACAAATTCAAGCAGAAACTGCCCAAAAACTCACAAGTTCAATGGATACAAGACTTGTGAAGCTTCTATCAAATAAGGGGTATTATGTTAAAATGTAACGTGACCTGTTAAAATGTTTAAAAAGTTAAAATGTTGTTATAAGTTTGATTGAAATAGCTTTTGATTTCAGAAAATATGCTGCAAACACAAATGACAATTTAGACTTCTTTAAAACCTATAAAGTGTTTTGAAACTTTTAAACTTTTGAAACTTACTGTGCATAATAATTTGGAACAGTGCATTGTAAGTTTTTTATGTTTAAAAAAAAATACTGTTATCATTAGGAGGTTTGTTCAATAAAATTTGAATTGTACTCTTAATAGTTGATAACATGAGAATTATGCTGACTGTTATTTACATCAATTATTTAGGTAAATGAGAAATATAATTTGCAAAATAATATGGAACGGTGTAGAGCTATATTGTGAAGTCTGTGATTGGATAGCCACAGAAAGTCTGGGTGGGGCTAGAGGAGGAGGTCTTGCAAGGGTTTCAGACAAGAGATCGGCTGCTTTTGCAAGTTATTAGATATACTCACAAAAATAGCAATACCACACTCGAAAGAACTTAATGGAATGAAAAGAGATAGCTGTTCACACCTCCTATAACCTCAGATCCAGTACCAACACTTTATTTAGTCTACCTCCATAAAAAAGAAAGCAGCTCGATCCTCCTTTTCCTACAGAGCACCACAATTATAATACTAAAATACCTTAACCCCTTAATGACGCCGGACGTGCTTTGCCATCCTTGGGGAACCAGCTCTAAACGCCGGCAGACGGCATAGTACGTCCCCGCCGTTCAGGGGACTTACCTGCTCGTTAGCGATCCCCCGGCGATCGCGATGTGGGGATTTGCCTGGCCTCCCAGGCAGTCCCCTGCGTTTGATCCGGCCCTTCTGGGCCATGTGATCACGAGGTCCTTGCGAGGACCTCACGATCACATGGACGGAATAGCTGTCCATAGCAGTACAAGCAGAGGGAGTACCTGGAATGACGGTTATGTGTTTTATTGCCGTAAAAGCTAACAGTGTTATGACATTCATAGATAAAATGTCATACAGAACTAAAAAAAAAAACAACAAATTTCTTAATTTCTCCCTTTTTTTACATTTTATTCCTATTAAATTATGTTTCATAGCTAAATATGTGATGGTACATCAAAGCCCTTTTTTCTCCTGAATATGTATGGGTGCACTTAATATGAAAGAGGTGAATTACGGCTGAACAGACATATAGTGCAAATGCCAGGTTTTGTTTACGTTTTATTTTGATCACATTTGGCTCAGTCCTTAAGGGGTTAAGAGATCCCTCTCTACCTATCTCAAAACAGAATGCACCTGTCATGGTTCATTATATATTTCCTACCTGTTCTATGTTAAATTTTGTATATATTGTGTATTAATATTGGTTTTGTATTTTATTTCACCCTATTGTATCAATGCAATGTTTTGTAGACCCAGGACATACTTGAAACCTAAAACCCCAGGACATACTTGAAACCTAAAACCTGGTAAAAAAATAAATAAATAAAATATATATATATATATATATATATATATGAAACAAGGGGGGGTTGGCTGCACTCACCTGAACTTGCATAAATGGGGGTGCTGCTGGGGGCCAAATAATACAAAACACAAGATCCAGCGCACTCACCTATCCACTAAACAGCAACTTCAATGTTGAAAGATTTTATCAGTTTAGTGTAGGACCTGCCAAAGATGGGGTACATTGACGTTGTGGCAGGCTTATGCAATGTATGATCATATAATGTAACTAAACCCCCATTATTTTTGCCTAGATTAGGTGTTTTTAAAAAAACTGATAAAATCTTTCAACATTGAAGTTGCTGTTTAGTGGATAGGTGAGTGCGCTGGATCTTGTGTTTTGTGTGTGTGTGTGTGTGTGTATATATATATATATATATTTATAAAGAGAGAGAGAGATATATAGATTTTATTTTATTTTAAAAAAAAAATGTATTCTTTATTTTTGGTGCAGAATAGTACAAGCTTGACCTGTCATGCCACAACAGCAGGATCAGATCTTTTCGGTCACAATACAATAAGTTTCATGGCATATGGATATATTGCACATTTTTGTATTAATAATAAACATGTTCATTTTATATGAGCTTAGAACTGCGCATTTTTAATATTAATCATGCTAAAGTAAGTTGGTGTAAGTGAGGGTGTGTCAGTACATGAGATGGCTAGAAGAATTAAGGCAAATAATGACAACAAAGAGAAATAAACTTTGCGGCAGTTTGGTCGAGCAGCCCTTTCGACCTGATCTCTTGTATCCCCTTCAGTCTCAGGTGCCTGTTGGGTGCCGGTTAGCCCTTTGTGGTTTGAATGCGGTGGAGGGTGGGGTGGTGGTTCTGGCAGGCTACTTTAGCCATGTCCCAGAAGTGACTGGGCTTTTGTCTCGAAGCTTGGGTGTTTTCTTCCGAGTGTGGCGGCAGTCCTAGTGCTGTCAGCACAGAGTCCATTTCCAATGCGTCCTGTTATGCGGGTTGTTGCGCCACCATGCGTGACAACCAGGCTTCTGGGGAATGCCCATCGGTATGGGATGGAGTGATGGCGGAGTGTGATGGTCAGCGGTTTGAACAGGCTTCTCCAAATTAGAGTAGGCCTGGACAGGTCCTGGTAGAAACACAAAGTGGCCTTTTCAAAGGGGTGAGTAGCTATTCCTCTCACTGCTGCCATGAAGGTTAGTTGGGCCGACCGTGTCTGGAGCTGTAGTATGACATCCTGTGGGGAGTCTGCTGGAGCTCTGGTGGCTCTCGGGATGCAGTAGACCCTGTCGATCATGGCAAGTTTTGCCAGCTGTGGTGTGAGTAGGGAGGTAAGAAGTCTCCTGGTGAATTGTTAGGTCTTCCGGGGCCACGGTCTCCGGGATTCCCCGTATCTTTACGTTCCGGCTCCTTTACCGATCCTCCAGTGCATCCAGGTGGCTGATAAGCAGAGACTGGTTGCGTTGTGGCTCTGTGTTTTGTACTTCCATCTGTATGCATCGTGCGGTGAAGCTCGCGAGTCCTCCTCTATTGTCTTGACTCGCCCTTCCACAGTGTGTATTTCCTCCCGCTGTGTGGCTAAGTCTGCAGCAAACATCGTGCGGATATTGCGGAGAAGGACTTTTATATCTCCATTCGTGGAGGATAGCTTGTTATCCTCATCGGAGGAGGGGTGGTGTAATCCCCCTGTGCTTGGGAACTCGTCCAGCTCATCCATCGCTGGTTCCTCGGAGGAAGCCTAGGTCGTGTCGCCATGATCTTTTGGCACGGTGAGGCCTGAGGCCTTTGCGGGGCGAAGAAGGTCCCCTATATCGCGTACTCCTGCTGGTTTCACGGTTCCCTGGTGTTTGGATTTCTTACCCATCTTGTATCATCTTGATGGTGGTCGAAATTGGTGTGTTTTGGATAAAAAATTGCTTATTTCAGGCTTGTTTTAGCAGAGCTCTGCTGGCACACGTCTGCTCTAGTTGGCTGCCGGCTCCGCCCCCCTGGTAAAATATTTTATGAATAAATATCTGGAGAACAAGTATTCGTGTAATGCAGATTTCTTACAATATTGTGAACATGGTATGTCCACCATAATAAGCAGCAGTGATAGGAGTTGTAACGAACACATCTCTGCTCTGGGCATCAAAAAAAAAGTGGGGGCAAAAAATTAAAAACAGTCCTAAACAGTGTTCCCCGATATATTCCAATAAAAAAACCCATAAATAAATGCATGTATGCTCTAGGGGTATATCTACTAAACTGAATTAAAATTTATTTTGTATTTGTACAGGGGTATGTCATTTTTTAAAACTTACCTGGACAAGCTGTGTTCTAATGGTCATTTCTCTGAACACGTTGCATAAACAGCTTACTTTGAGCTTAGTTTGCTTACACTCCCTTGGGACAGAGGGGCATCTGGAAATACAAGGGTTTAACCCCTTAAGGACACGTGACATGTGTAACATGTCATGATTCCCTTTTATTCCAGAAGTTTGGTCCTTAAGGTGTTAAAGGATAGTGTAGTACATAATGACAAAAAAAAATTGGGATTCATTCGTACAGTGACCTTAAACCTAAACATTTATTAAATAGACAGATGGACAGAAAATGTTTCATCTCGAACAAGATCAAAAATGGCATATGTGAATAGCAGCGTTAAAGAGGCAAGGAACTAAACCTGGCGTTCTGTTTTAAGGTTTTCCAGGATTGAATTTAAAATTGCTCTTTAAACCAGAGCTAATTGGATGCGGAGCATTGAATTTTGTTGTCTGGAAATTGTAGCATTAGTCAGGAGTTCAACATTCTTCTTTGTCGGGGTCAATGATACAAGATTGTCTGCAGTATATAATATATTTGTAGTTTTCCATTACTTTTTAATTATGGTTAGTCTTGAAGTTAGCTTACATGAGATGTCAATCTGATTAAATAAACAAAATGGCTACATTTGCTGCTGAATTCCCTTGGTGGCTACTTTGTGCAGCAATTTAGCTCACAAATTGGTATTTCAGGTTCCCGTCATGCTATTCTGCAAGGAATTTTTGGATCAAAATATATTTTGAGGTAGTCAATTGAGGTTAGGAACATTTCTAGAAAATAGGGCTGCCTCCCCATAGGCCATCTACTACAAATACACATTCAGATGAGACAGTAGTGGGTTGTTGAAAATGTCATTTGTTATACAGGGTACCTTTTTAATATTAGGATTATTCAGTAGACTGCAATTCTCAATTATCCCCAAACTATAGGTAATTAAGTAGGCAACAAACTAGCTGTGGTATTTGGCTTAAAAGCTGTTATTCTCCTGTTTAGGGAATAAACAGTAGAATTATTTATTTATTGAGAAAATATTTTACCAGAAAGGATACATTGAGACTTCTCTCGTTTTAAAGAATGTTATGGGTTCACAAAACATTGCATTGATACAGTATGGTTCAATAAAATACAAAACAATATTAATTACAATTTAAATTACATTAATATTTACGAACATATAAATTGTCTGGAATTAAAAAAAGAATTTCACAATGTAGGCCAATACAGCCAAACTGAAAACAACATACCTTGGGATTCTCAGTTTGCAATTTATTTGCCCAAAATTTGAATTCTAGGTATGTTTTAATGGAACACTCCATAAAAAAAAGAGGGCAACTTAGTAGATATACCCCAAAGAAAATATATGCATGTACCGGTAAATTGTTTTGCATGTTTTCTTGGGGGTATATGCAATCTAGTATCTACTACCCCTCTGTACTGGAAAATATTCCCTTACTGTCCATTCAGACCTATGAATGAGCTGCAGTAAAGTTCATTAGAAGGCTTGGCAATTGGGCAACTGTCTGTCTCTTGAGCTCAGCTCCACACAGCTAAACTACTTACTATGCATGTTTTGTATTGGGATTATATATAATAGCAGCTTGCTAAAACTGCACATCTCTTGTCTGAAGCCTTTGCAAACTCTCTGCTTCTAACCCTGTCCAAACTGTCTGTTGCTGTCCAATCACAGACTTCAAAAGGCAGGTGCTCGGGGCAGTTGCCTTCTCTTGAGTTTAACTTCACTGAGCTAAACAAACCAGGAAGTAACTGGACCTGTTGTCTGATTGACAGCTAATTTATAAAAGTGCAGATTTCTATTGAAATTTGCAATTTCAGAAAGTGGCGGGTGGGCTGAGGGGGTGGTTAGAGGTTTCATTATTCACACAAAGAGTCAAGACTTGACATGCTAGTAACATTTTACATTTTTATAATTTTTTTTGTGAGTTCTAATATATATCTTCATTTTATTTTTTCAGTTGTCATTTTGTTTAAGTAAAACCTTTTTTTACTATTTTTACAAAAAAAATTGCATGAATCCATTGTAAAGTTGTAAATCTTTCTGAGACCTCTCACAACAGAGCAAGATGATCAAAACTATTCTGCAATAATGATGAATGAAGAAGTGTTTTTTTAAGGTATAATCATAGCAGATCCCTGAGCGTCTGACTTGTAGTAACCACCATGCAGAATGAAGAGCAGGCTGCTGTTAGCACACTGTCCATCACAACTGTTTACTTTTATAATGACAGCTTAACACATCTGGACTGCATACTGCTTTTTGATCTGGACTAGCAGATGCTGTCCACTAGTATCAATGACAAAACCATGCTCCGGGTGAGAAGTTCAAAGAGCAATATCTGAAGCCCATTCTCCCACTGATATAAATAAATATTTCTTTCTCCCTCTTCTCCCTTTCTTTGCTTACCAAAAGCCTTATTTATTTATTTTTTTATATTGCTCACTTTCATTTACTTGTTACATCATAAAATGTTTATTATGCACCGCATGAGATTAGAATTGTATTACTTGGATATGTGGTGTGTTATAATATTATAAACTGCAATGATTTTGTCATTCATGAGCTAGTCGCTAGTCTGATCTAAAAATGCTGTAAGTGCATTTTTTTTTGCAAAACATTTTTTTTTTTTTTTTAAGTAAGCTTTTAACTCATGCAGAATTAGTGACGGGGAAATCTTTCAATTCAGCGGTGTTGGAGATGCAGGTTTATTTTTGCCAGTCTGATCTAATATTTGTGAGTACACTGCAAAATGTTTAGTGGATAGAGTTCAGATACTGCTATCTGATACAAAGTAAATTTTGTCTCTGTGAAAACTTGCATGATAGGACATCTCTTCTGCTTACTGTCATAGACGGTTTATTTGATCACAGATGTTGATTGATGTAACTTTGGCTTGAGTGGCCTTTTGGCAAAGGTGGAACAGGTGTGTATATGTGTCCCATACTGTAGCTCAGGCAAGCTCTGTCACATCACACTGAGGTCATTGTTTAACACTGGCATTCCTGCAGAGACGGGATGCTTTAAGCATGGAGCATGACATCTGGGAAATGGATTTCAGGTGAGAGATTGGAACCATGTTGTTCAAAGACAGGACTCTGCATCTGCATGTTCTATTTATTTAGCAAGCATTGGCCCTCTTTAGTTCTTCTCCAACAATGTGTTGAAAAGTTTTGTCACTCTTTCAGTAACTCTTACACATTCTTATTTTTTTTGTTTTTATCTAGAAGCACGGTAAAGTGTTGAGCCTTCTGGAATATGTAACCCTTTTCTATAGAGATGCTAACAGAATGCATCCAGATTGTAATGGTGTTATTTTAAAACTTTCCACTTATTCCAAATATTGTGAATTCTGTCCTTGTGTGTTTAGTCGCAATGTAAATAGAAATGGCCAGCAGGCTACCTTTCTCTGAAGTTATATCAATGTGTTGTAGGTAATGTCAAACATTTTCTTAATTGGATATATGTGAACTGATTATTATAATACTTTCTAATAGTTACATAATACTTGTAACTACTGAACTGCCATGCTTATCTCATACAGAGAGCTCTGAGAAAGCTGTAGTGGAGGCAGGGAGTGGCGCCTGGTGGACGCTGTTCAGACAACAAACGGTTTGTCTTCTTGGCTGCTGTAGTGGTTATGGTAATTGGACTGTTCCTTAAATTTTCTGTAGGAATGAAATTGACTTTTCTGGTTTATTGATTTAAAAAATCAATAATTAGAATTTTGTGTAAAGGAACATTTTGAACAATAAAAATCACTTATTTTAATAAAGTGGTTTTGGTTCATAGGTAATGCTCCTTTTTGTTGGTAATGTAAACACTGCCATTACTATGAAACAGCAATGCTTTACATTTCGCCTAAAACATGCCTAGTGGCTTCAGACTGCTTATTGAGAAAAATGAATAAGAAATGTACATGTGTATATTTCTTAAAAGAAGGCCAGTAACAACAGATAAGTGTTATGGTGCCCAGAGTGTTCTAACACTATTTTATTTAATATTGATTAACTTGCTTTTAGTCCATACTACACATGACCAATGTCATTGTCAGGAGATTGCAGAAACCTGGAGGCGCTAAACGTTTCCCATAGAGATGCATTGATTCAATGCATCTCAAGAGGAAATGCTGACTTGTAGTGCCTTTTGTTAAGGCACTCGATTGGCTAAGATAATTAAGATTGATTATCTCAACCATGTAGGCGGGGCCAGCTGTGGCAAGGCGTGGGGGGAAAAGGTGCTGGTCACCTAAACATGCGTGCACACACACACAGTCACTGATTGGACACACAATGACAGACACACACACACACACTCTCACTGGCAGACTTTTAATTTAAGTCCATCCAGCCTCCCTACCTTTGGGAGAGCTGGAGTGGATACTTTACTTGAGGTTCAGT